ACCAATGACGTCCTGTGAAATGTGTCATGTGACCAAGATGAGCGTCAGCACACTTTGCTCATTGTTGCTATCCTGTAGCGAAAACAAACACACTTTGATCTTTCATAACCAAATTTAAAAACACAAACAAAGGCAGATAAAATACTGTTCTTCATGCCAGCTCACCTATTTAAGGTGTCACTAGAAAAACTCAGGTTGAATTTCAACCTATTTTCATTGAAGTGTCTCTTCAAAACACATCGACAGAAATTAAAACTCAGAGTCTGCAGTAACTGCTGTCAGCATGGTTTGTTGAACTTTGTAGAAATTTGTAGAGCAAATAACAAGCGAACACTCAGAGTTGCACAATCCAGTCACAGCGGTTTAGGAAGAAAATGGCAGCAGCTGCTGACGATTTGTCAACATCCCTAATTTATTCTTTGTTATGATTGATAAATGAGATGAAAACTTGTCACTGTTTTACTGATGGAACAGAAAATTCAGTTTTTGCTTTTCAGGATTCAGTCAGCTTGATCAGATGTGGGCCCGCCTCAGTACCACACAGTTAACACACTCCCTGCACTTTGTGAAAGTTTGATTTTTGTTTGTTTTTCCTTCTGCTCAGAACAAAGTGAGTATGACAGCTCAGCTTCCAGTGGGATGACGGACCAGGAGAAGGAGATGGCAGCGAGCGCATATGAAGCTTTTGCGGTAAACAGTTTTGGCTTCTTTCAGATACTTTACAACCTTAATGTTTTGGTGAAAGGTTTTACGTATGAGGCGGAGTAAACACAAACATGAAAAGAAAATGTTTCTAAGCTATACTAAATTACTAAGAACAGATTTGCTGGTTTTAATCGTTGCATCGTCGTCACGTTTCAGTCTGATTGACATTAATTAGTCTCACAGGACACTTCTAGCTTCCCATCAACCTTTCAGTTTATTTAAAGAAAAAAGTTCTGTGTAGTTTGGTGTTGTTGTGTCAAAGTCTGAATGTGGAGCAGAGAAACCAAAGATCTGTCTGAGGAGCTCAGAGACAAGATTATAGAAGTTAAATCTAAAGCCTACAAAACAATGTCCAGGCTGTTTCCTGTTCCTCTCACCACAGCTGACAAGATTATTTAAAGGGTTAAAGTTCACGGACTGTAGCCAACCTCCCAGGATGTGGATGCAAGAGGAAATGCAGCCCCAGATTATGTGAATAAGAAAATAAAAAGCCAAAGAAATGTCAAAAACTATTCAAGCTGCAATCCACGATCAATATCTGTCATTGTGTGATCCAAACAATTCAATTAAAAATACTTTATTGATCCCAAAAGTTAATTACAGAACCATCTGTCAAATTTTAAATCATAATGAGCTCCATAGAAGAAGACCCAGGAGGGATCCACTGTTTACAGCAGGGTTAGACAAATCCTATTGCCCGACTGCCCGGGGCAGGTAAAACC